TGGAAGATGATTCATAGTGAATGCATACAGAGTAATTTGCTGCACTCTGCTTGAATATCTCAACAGTTATCCGTGTAACTCGCGAAGAAGGGAATACCTCTTCGGGCAAAGTGCCTTATTTCTGTCGATTTCCGATGCACGCGCACAATAAGTCCTATTTATCGGAAATGATGCATAAGGTTGTCGCTTCTTATATGATTTCTGCAAAATATTGCCATCTCTTCAGCCCTGGTGCCTGTAGGCGGAGGTTATGTCGATTTTAACAAAGTGTACGCCTATGAATATCTTTCTTAAGGCGCAGAGGATTATTCGTGTGCTTTAATATCCTAACAATATTGACATTTGTAGTGGTGTACTTATTTATATTAACATTTATAGGCACTAAAAGGCCACTTTGTACGACTTCGAGTCCGAGAAAATGCATGAGGACCGCAAAAAATAAAAAGCAGCAGATTTTCCTCAACTATATGGCGATCCGTAACGTTCTCACAACCCAAGTCACTCATCGACGCAAAAAACGACGATCGAATTACTTTGTTAGTAGATGTGTTCCAATAATAATTTTTCTATTACGCCTTTTAGGGAAATATGACTGAATACATGAAAGTTCACACTAGTTAAGTGATATATCATGAGGAGCGTCACTTGCAATGCGGCTGGAAATGTACAAAACGGGAAACCAGTTTGCTGATATGTACGCACTAAACTTCTATTATGCTTGAGGCTAATCTGTTTCTTGACTTCATTGAAAAATGTTCTTCTATCCGAAAGCATATTTAATGAGTTTGGTCAGCATTGAGTGATTTTTAATGCCTATTGTGTAATAAGATTTGGTCTGCCACGAGAATACTAACCCACAGCACCACAGATGGCCTTGCGCAAAATTCCCACGTCCCAACGTCAACCCTTGCCCTAACCCTCCTACTCATAACCCTAACACTAACTCTCTTAGCCCTTAACCTAACCTTCTAATTCCCAACATTCTCAACCCTAACACAGCCTGAACTCCCCGAGATCTAACGCAAGGCTGTCTACGATAGGGGAGTCCATGTTCCCCAGTCTTATATTAGATTTATAACAAGACTTCATGCACATTTTGACGACTGCATTTCTTCAAACGACGAAATTCATTTTTTTACTTGTTTCTGTGTTTATTTATTCGGACAGTGTTCAGAAGTGCAAAAATTGTACTTTTCAAGGAAGTTTTTTCAGTAGGTGGTGGAAAAACTTGTCACGTTGTTGTCTGTAGCTTAATCGATGGCCATCAATTTCAGCACTGAGCAGAGTTGTTAAGGATTTGGTAAAGAAGACTCCATCGCGGTCGGTTCCCGTGACCTTCTTTTTCAGTGCTTTAGCGCTTTCTTCAACAGTCCTATGAAGAACTTCTGATAGGAGCTGAAAATTGCAGAAATGCTTTGGGTTTTGAACGGATGAGTCCCTCTGAACGGTTTAGTAGATTTAATGGCGTGTAATGCTTCCATTTTCGTATCTACCAACTAGCTGGGTGAGAGGCCCACCAAAAATGTCAACCACGGAACAGCAAGAAGCTACGCTTTTAACGGGCTTTCACAAATGATGTATTATTTTCTGCCAGTTTATACTATAAGCAACTCGCTGTTATTCTAAATACTTCAAAACCAATCGAGTTATTTTACGGTGTCTAGTGATCCGACCGAAAAACAACTTCTGTTGATGAGAGAGCGGCCGAAGAGATGAACTACCATAAACAGACTTAAACAAACGTGGTCCGTGTCTACATTTTAGCTTCAGTGTTGTGGTTGTGGCCATTAGTTGCCACAGGAGTACAGATCGTTTTTGTTGTTACAAGAGCAGCAATTCTGTGGTCTTATATATATATATATATCTCGGATTATGCTCCTAAAGCTTTAGCGAATTCACACCGACAGAGTAAGATTCAGCGGATCAGGTTGATTTATGATCAGACAGAAGTGGCAAACAAACCAGAATCATATGCTTGTTTGGCCGACCTTAATTTGCGAAAGCATTTTCTGGAATACAGTTGAAATGCTCGGACTTCGGTATCACCAGTTTCAGCGCTACAAGATAATCCTTTTTTGATATTTTATGCGGAACCGCTCTCATTTCAGCCCTGTTTTTCAGTCTTATGCATTACACGAATCAATCTTAAAAGTCTGTTTTACTGCTATTTGCAAAAATGTGGCTTATTTTTAGGTCTATTTTAGGAATATGGTACACTGCGACGCAGGAAAGCTTACACTGGACACGCTTTCCTTCCGTCTTATCTTCTTGTTCTTTTCATAAACCGCAGATTGTTGGTTTCGCTTACCTACTCCTCCTTATGAACTTATTCTACGTTCGGCGTTGCGTATCTTGCTCTAAGATCGCTATTCAAAATCGCCTTTAAAATACTTATTCAATGAGTCAGGTTTGGTCCATCTTAATAAATGTAACACTTCGTATCTGCCAAAAAATAAACTGTCAATTAAATAAATGACTTACATAACTACAGAAGGCGGGATTATTTTGGATGTCAGCACTTTGAACCTGGGCTTCATGCAGAAGCTCGTATTGGGAAGTTTGTCTCCCAACACAGCTCTATCTACGTGCAAGCATATGCCAAGTCAAACTATGACTAGAAGTTTTCTCAGGTAATATACCAACGAAACTGGGAACTAGCTGAACTTGCTCCCTTCTAAATTAACCTTTGTAGTCTTCAGTGTAACCGAAAACTCAGAAGTGCAAAGCTGCAGTCAACACCAATCCCACGAGATTGTAGCACGGTCCATGTTTCTCCTATGACAGAGCGTTTCACAATCCGACTGCAATTACTTAGGCTGTCGTTGGGTTGGTTTGAAGAACTTTCGCTCCGTCGACCTTCCCTTCCTTCCAGGTCTCTTTTCACTTCATCCGACAGGACTGAACCAGGCTTACTAGAAGTGAGGCTCGGTCTTTTGAAGTTCAGCATTCAGAGGCGTCCATGTTAGACGTCATCATCCACTGTATGAAGTCTGAGTGGACACGTGCGTACCGCGGCGAGATTTGTCGCAAGGGAGGTGCAGACAGCTTACTCCTATGCAATGGCGTTGTCATAGGCATTATTTATACTAACTGGAAAATTCAGCCTTTCTCATTTGCTCAAAAACTTTCCGTAAACGCCTGGAACAGTGTTAGATCTAAAGATCGGTCTTGAAGAGTGAGTATTCGGGTGCAGCCAATAGGTTTGGCGATTGCCCGGTTTTCAGCTGACACAATTTTATCGCTTGTAACGGTGTCAAACAGAAACTGTGGATGCCTATGGGGGAAGGGAAGAAGAATTAACGGTTGAGGCTGGTTAACAAGCTTCACGACTCACCCTCGTGTCGTGACAGACGTCCCTGAGGTGGCTCAGACGGAGGTTCTTATGTTCACAAAGACTCGCTATGAGTTGACATGTCATGAGTTGCCAGGGTTTGGTAAGGAGGGGTACATGGAAGCCAATCAGGCAGACACTGAAGGACTGATGCCGGTCTTGAATTGGTACCTTGCCCGCACCGGGAAGGTTTGAGATGTGGGGATTTCGCATGCCGGGAAAGTGGATACGGATGCAGTGGTTGATTGGGTAGAGCAGCTGCTCGCTCTCAACTGCTAGCGGTGTTAGACTTGAAAGTATCGCGTCCATAGCCTAAACCGAGGATAAAGAACAGAAAAAAAGAACTGGGTGCCAAACAGTTGTACCCGTTTGCTTCAGAACCTGGTAATCTCAGTTGTGAGTTTAAGCTGGTTGACACCGCAGTAACATGATCATGACTGCTTGCTTACTACATTTCTTTTATAAACAACCATAAACAGCCTTAGTCTCCAGGTCAACTAGACATACCACCATATTAAAAACAAAAGGAAAGATTTCCAAGTAAACACATCTGCTCTGTCATCCATCCACTTGCACACATCTTTATCCCCTTCGAAGTGCCATAGGTAATCTCAAAAGCTTGCTTCTGTAACACACTTAACCCAAATTTTTCGTTTTCGCTCAAAGCTTCCAATACTCCTAACTACTAAATAGTGCTTTGTGCAAATGTGCAGACGTTAAAAATCGATAGGATATTTATATAGTAACTAAGGGGCCATTTTAGTGAGGGCAATTTTGCCAGTTGGTAGGGCTGACATTCTTCAAAGAGCCAGCCTCCTGGTGTGTATGGAACGTATTGGGATTATGCTGCATGCTAAACAGCTTAAAAATCTATTAACGTAATCATTGAAAACTAGAAAAGTACTTTAAAACTTTCATCACTGTTCCATGAAGCTGGCAGCTAACCATATATTTCTACTTAAAAATATCATATATTTTTGTAATTCTGAAATCTTGGATGACGATACGAGGGCGGTTTCCGAGTGGCAAGCGTCGCCCAACTGATCTTTGTATGTTAGAAGTGCGTTCACCGTTGTACTTTGGGGCTTGATTTAGAGGCCTTCAGGCAGTCACACGGGCGGGGGAAGATTACCGAGAGAAGCAGGGTAGATTGGGATGATCATTTCTGTTTTATTAGCTGCCATCAGCCAGCCCTACCGAAACCCTAGTTTTCAGCACCTAAGCCGCGGTCCCGCGTTCGTTGGTCATCGACTGATTTTATGCCAAACAGTGTAACAGTGGTGATCGACTACAAGCGGCAAGACAACGAGCCCGTGGTTTAATTGGTTGAGGGTTGGACTTACTAACGCTCAATGCCAAATAACGCGCGATCGAGGTTCAGGTGTGACAAATCAGGGTTTAGGTAGGGTTCAAGCATGGCCACGCTTGACAAACAGACAATCTAAGGAACAACCGACCGGAACGGAGGACGGCGTGAGTGGCTCGGGAACTGGCGTGCTATAAGGTGGACATCGCTGTACTCAGAGAGACCCGGTTCTCATAAACAAGGCCAATTGGAGGAGGTTTTTGCTGGCTACACCTTCTTCTGAGTGGTCGCCCTAAAGCAGAGCGACGGGACGCGGGTGTTGCCTTTGCCATCCGGAATGGCATTGTGCGAAGATTGCCCTGCCTACCGAGGAGCATTAACGACCGTCTGATGAGCCTCCGCCTGCCTCTCCGGGGAGGTAAATTCGTTACCATCATCAGCGTCTGCACTCCTCTGATGGCCAGCCCTGATGCCGCAAGCGGCAAATTCTACAAGGACATACACGCACTCCTGGCGACGGTGCCAAAGGCGGGCAAGTTGATTGTCCTTGGTGACGTCAACGTCTGCGTCGGTACAGACCATGTTGCTTGCAGAGGAGTGCTGGGTCCCCATGGTCTCAACGGCTCCAATGACAATAGCCTGCTTTTCCTTTGAACCTGCGCAGTACATCAGCTCACCCTGACCAACACATACATCCGCCTCCCGAGGCGAGAGAAGACCACCTGGATGCATCATCGGTCGCTTCAGTGGCACCTGCTAGACTATGTCCTCGTACGGACGTGCCGGTGATAAGGGCAATTCCGGGTGCTGACGGTGGACCGACCATCGCCTCGTCATCTCGAAGATGTGGATTGGCCTACAGTCTCGCAGGAGACCACAAGGTAAGAGAGCCCCAGGTAATTTGAATATTGCTTTGTTGTGTTTACCCGCTCACAATCTCCATTTCAGCAACGAGCTAACTCAACGGCTAGCCAACGCTCCAGTCGCCGCCGCCGCTGACGAGAACGCCTCCGTGGAGAACCGATGGTGTTAACTGCGGGACGCGGTCCAGGCGACGGTCCTGACCGTCCTCGGTCGCGCACGTCGCCAACACCAGGGTTGGTTCGACGACAGCGACGCCGTCACCAGCAACCTGCTCACTGAGAAGAGCCGCATGCACAAAGCCTACGTCGCCTGCCCCACCGAAGACAACAAAGCTGCTTTCTACTGTAGTCGCCACCTTGTGCAACAGCGGTTCCGCGAGATGAAGAATACCTAGACGGCTCGCAAGGCCAAGGAGATCCAAGGGTACGCGGACCGCAACGAATGGAAGAACTTCTTTCCCGCGGTCCAAGCTGTCTGCGGTCCGCAACCAAAGATACTGTCCCTCTTCTCAGCGCCGACGGCAGTGCCCTGCTCACTGAGAGGAGACAAATTCTACAACGATGGGTCGAGCACTTCCGAGGCGTCCTCAACCGTCCCTCCACCATCTCTGACGCCGCAATCGCTCGTCTGCTGCAAGTGGAGACCGATGCCGACCTCGACCTCTCGCCTCTCTCCATGAAACAATCAGGCCCGTGCAGCAGCTCTCCAGCGGGAAAGCACCTGGATCGGACTCGATTCCTGCTGAGGTCTACAAGCGTGGTGGCCCCCCAACTCATGGACTATCTGACGGCGTTCTTCCAGGAGATGTGGCGTCAAGGAAGCGTCCCGCAAAATTTCAAGGACGTCACAGTCGTACATCTCTGTAAACGGAAAGGTAACCACCAACTCTGAATCAACTACCGAGATATCTCCTTGCTGAACATCGTCGGGAAGTTCTTCGTTCGCAACCCCCTCAACCGCTTGAACAAACATCTGGAACAAGGTCCCAGCCGGAAAGTCAGCGCGGCTTCCGTCGTCACTGTAGAGCCACGAACATGACCTTCGCCGCCCGACAACTGCCGGAGAAGTGCCAGGTGATGCGGACCCACCTGTACTCTACCTTCGTGAATCTGACGAAAGCCTTCGACACGGTAAATCGTGACAGACCTTGGAAAATCATGCAGAAGGTTGACTGTCCCAAACGATTCACTCAGATGGTGCGTCGGCTCCACGATGGCATGCTGGCGCGTCATGGACAATGGAGCTGTATCAGAGGCATTTGCAGTGACCAGCGGGGTAAAGCAGAGCTGCGCCCCTCGAACAAACCCTCTTAAGTCTTATGTTCTCTGCCATGCGGATGCACGCCAACCGTGACGAACCTTCGGGATCCGCATCGTCTACAGGAGGGACGGCCACCTCCTCAAGCAGCGGAGGATGCCCTTTCAGTCGCGTGTATCTATAACAGCCGTCCATGAACGCCTCTTCGTGGACGACTGCGCCCTCAACACCACCTCGGAAGGGGACACGCAAAGGAGCATGGGTCTCTTCGCTGCCGCTTGCGAGAACTTCGGACTGGTCATCAACACGGAGAAGATAGTAGTTTTGCATCAAACGCCACCCGACGCTGCTTACGTCGCATCCTAAATCAACGTGAACGGTGCCCAGCTGCAAGTGATGGACAACTTGACGTGTCTGGCGGCACCAAGATTAAAAACGAAGTGGCCCGCCGCATTTCCAAGGCCAGTCAAGCCCTCGATCGCCTTTAAAACACAGTCTGGAATCATTACAGTCTTCAACTCATCATGACACTGAAGATGTGCAAGGCCTTTATCCAACCGACGTTGCTGCATGAAACAAAGACTTGGACGGTGTACATGAAGCAGACGCGCAGACTCAACCACTTCCACCTCAATTGTCTTCGCTGAATACTGAAACTGAGGTGACAGGACCGGGTCCCAGACACGGATGTGCTGGAACGGACGGGAATCTTCAGCATCTACGCTATGCTAAGACAACTACAACTCTGCTGGAGCGGTCATCTAGTATGGGTAGACGATGCGAAGCTACCCAAACAACTCTTCTATGGAATTGTCGCAAAGGGTTTACTCCGACAAGGTGGTCAAGTCCGGCGCTACAATGATACTCTGAAAATCTCCCTGAAGCACCTACGGATCAACCCGAAAAACTGGGAAGACTTTGTCTGGGACCGACCTACGTGGCGGAGGACTGTGAAGACTGGCGTAGCAATCTTCGAAGCCAACCGAATCATCACCGCCAAAGCCAAACGCGAGACAAACAAGTCTCAGCTACCGCCGTCGCCTCACAACTCCACCACCCAACCACCTCCAACGTGCCCACGATGTCAACGGACGTTTCAAGCGCCAATGCGACTTGCTGGACACCTCCGGACCAACTGCAACACTCGAACTGCACCAACTTTCGTCTCTCCGTCCACCTCAACCTTGCCTCCCACGCCGTCGACTAACGTTGACCGCCCTCCCGAACGACTACGACGACGACGACGACGACGACGACGACGACGACGACGACGACGACGACGACGACCACCACCACCACCACCACCACCACCACCACAACCACCACCACCACCACCTCATCGTCCTCCTCTTCTTCTTCTTCCTCTACCGTCTCAACGTCTGCCGCTGTGGTGTCTGCCATGCCCACCAACCCTACACACAATCATCACACACCAAATAACACTAACACCGCCACCGTCAATGGCAGTGACGAGGATCAGGTCCACATTGCGATCGCACTTTCACCTCACACATCGGCCTGGTCGGCCGCTTGCAAATCCATCAACTGCCTCCGGTCTTCTCGACTCTGTCTTGACACGGGGTCCAGTTGGGGAGTAGGGAAGAGAGTGTGGTAGATGCTGCGGAAGTCCACCATCACTATAAACTAATTCATGCGCAAGTCACTGTGCATGCTGCACCTTGTTGTGTAGAACCCGGTGAACAGCATCGAAATCGACGGTCGAACTGTCAGGTAGGGCTAGCTGACGGCGGTTTATAAGTCCAACCCTCAATTAATTTGGCCACGGTTTGTTGTCCTGTTAGCTGTGGTCGATCATAACTGGTAGGGCGTCTGACGTAATGACACTCGATGGCTAAAGAACGTGGGTTCGGGGCTCAGACGCGTGAAAACCTGGATTTAGTCAAGGCTGACAGACGACGACAAGTAAACGAGAAACCGTCATCCCAGTCTCCCCTGCATCTGCCAGCAAACTCCTTCTGCCCAATCTTCGTATGTTCCATTAATTTCGGCGCAAATTGCATCAGAGACTTTTCGAAATCATCTGTCATTGATCCGATAGAATGGATATCAAGAGACATTGAACATAGTTGATTGCAAGGATAACCAGAAATTAGATAAGAAGTCCGTCTCGGGAACTCGACTATTTGTTAATTTCCTCAACCTCATTATATCCTCCATACACAGAGTTGAGGATAGCCTTCTATTGAAGCCGGTGTTTTTGACATGAAAATCCTTCGTGCTATTAAAGCGAGACAACACAACAGAGTATACTTTATCTGGTACTTTTCTTCTCAAAATCCCCAAGGCTGACTGATTAATGAGTATTTTGGGGACTGTCTTTGGAAGAAACACTTTCATTCCTGCTTTAAGTTAGCTGTTGTGAACCTAAGGCTTTCTTACAACTACTAAGAAGAGCTTGTAAGTCTTGAAGGTTGCACTTCAGTTTTTCTTCTAAATGACCGAGGCAAGTGTGACTTCATAAAGTCCTAACGAAGGCTTCATAATATGACCTAACTTAAGCATCTTACCGCATTTGCAAGACTGGGGCTGGCTGTAAAGAAAACACTCTTCATGGTAAGATTAACCAAGTAGTAAATCAAATTTTCCTTACCGTCTTAAATTCTTTAAGATCACTTCCAGTGGTCATACTTAGGCGGAGCGAGTTCGTGGGTACGTCTGGAATTTTCACCATATTCATAGCCCACGGTGTATATTGCTGTACTTCCCTAAAACGTTCTACTCCCCTTTTCACGTGCACAAATGCCTTTGCTAGGAGTTCTGGCGTCTCCTCTGGTCGTTCAAAGAACTCACGCACACGTGGACCGACCACAGGATCCAAGGTGGCCGTTTGTTTTCTGTGAACTGAGTCGATAGGATCACATTCAACCAGGCGGTTGAGTGCGGTTTTACCACATCGCAAGAGCACTTCATCATCTTGTGCACTCCACTGTTTCATCCGGTCGTCACTCGGCTCATCCAGTTTGATGGAATTGTAGGGCAGGTAGAGGAGTTCTACAAAGGAGCTTTCCGTAAGACGTTCATGAAGAAGCTCCGAAGACAGCAGACTGTTCCATGTGTAAATCTCAGATGAAACCTACGAGAAAGTTGACCAAATGCGTTGAATGTTTGCAGCCCGGAAGTTTTTTGACAACTCAGTTGGGCAGGACTTTTTACTACCGTAAATACTTACACAAAACACAAAAATGTCAGATTTTTAAGTGAGTAAGTATTTTACTTGACACCAGAATGCCCTTACCTTCGACACCGATATCGGGTGGTATTCTAGGAAAACGTCGTACACAATGCCTAACATCCCCAAACTAGCTTTACAGTAGTTAACTTCTTGTTCGCCAGTGTATTCATAGAGGTCACCTTTTGAGTCCACAACGCGAATGCAAAATATCTTGTTTTCCGCAAACGGATGTGACTTGTTTTCCATTCCCCACTCGCCGAGAGGGTACTTTGAGACCAGGGCTCCGACCACAGTTCCCTGAGACAGACCTTCGTCTATTGGCTGCGCGAGTTCAATTTTGTTATTGATCTGGAAGTCGAGCAGTTCATCTATGCCCACACTGACCAAGACCCGTAAGCAGGGCACCTCTACCTCCATCTCCTTATCCGCAATAACCGTTGTTAACTCGATGCGTGGTGTATCGTTGAGGGTCTGACAGTCGACCAACAAGGTAAATTGGTCAGCGTAGAGACCGTTAACGCCACTGGTGCTTCGGCCTCTGGCGCGAATATTTAGGCGCATTGTTTTGGCCGCCCTAACTGAGCGGGAAATTTCGGAGAGGGACTTTGGTTGCACCAGCAAGCACTCTGTGACCTCGGCGTCTCGGTCTTCTCCCTGCACCAGAGCCGTTTCCACGAGAGGCAGTGTTCCGATTCGCCTTTGCAGTTCCCGCTGAAGGAGACCCAGTAGGTGAGAACTGCCGTAAAGGAACATCCGGCGGCTTCTGCGCGGCTATCACTGTGTTTTTGGTGCCAACTAGTCGGCCTTTAAAAGGGTTGCACCGACTTTCTTGCTGAGTGAAGTTCTTTTGAGAAAAATAGTAAACAGAATCAACCTGCTACTGGACACTGCTGTTGATATTGCTTCCGCAAACACATAGTGATCAAAAGTACACTTTACTTGCGCAGATAGGGCAGAAGCCTTCAAATGAGTTCAGAACGTACTTTTACTCTCGCAGAACGGGTACTGTGTGTTCCTACGAGTGGATCAAGATAAACTAGAGCAAGAATATAGGGGGACTTATTATGTTCTGTCTTCAACTTAAGGTCTTTTGGTTCATAAAATAGTTCTTTGCCAAAAGCGTACTCAGAATACCACATTAGATGGAGGTAATGTGACTGGAGTTTGGTTCGAAACCTCGTGAAAATAATTTTATACTGCAAACCTAAAGTGCCCTTCTCTCGTTTATATAATGATAATATAAAGATGATAACTCGGTTGCGATTTATTCTACAACATTTGCTGCATTACTCGGCAAACTACCAGTGTCGGCGTATTTTAATTAGAGTAAGTTATTCATGTTGGCCCACTTGTGAAAAACTCGGAGCGTCGGTGGGTTTCGAACCCACGCAGTAAGGGGAAGGCTTTAGTACAGCCAACGCTCTAACCACCTGAGCTACGAGGCCTCGCCGGACAACGCGAGTATAATCACATTTGGGTCAAGTTACCCGCCCAACCTACTGCAAGGTCTTGAATCCACCAAATCTGATACAGTAAGTTGACTGCCCAAGCAGGATTTCCTAAGTAATTCACCTAGAATCCACCAGATGACTACTAGGCTCACGTAATTCATGGAAATTTTGGCAGATTTTGAATAATTCATATTGACCCAACTGTGAAAAACTGGGCGCCTCGGTGGGATTCGAACCCACGCAGTAAGGGGAAGGCTTTAGTACAGCCAACGCTCTAACCCACATGTGATTAAACTCGCGTCGTCCGGCGGGGCCTCGTAGCTCTGGTGGTTAGAGCGTTGGCTGTACTAAAGCCTTCCCATTACTGCGTGGGTTCGAATCCCACCGACGCTCCGAGTTTTTCATAAGTAGGTCAATATGAATTATTCAAACTCTGCCAAAATATCTATAGAGTAAGTTATTCAGTCCGAACGAGTAAAGGGCCTCACAGTAAAAGAACTGTAAAGAATGGATTCAAAGGGTCACATAGCGTTTCCCCAGAGGAGCATGACTATTTGTTTACCAATACAAGGTGAACTAATTGATGATCCCGACGTTCTACCAGCCTTCTCATCTACCCTAAATATTAGGCTCTTGAACTGAGCCGGACAATAACATTCGGGGATGCACAGTTCCGGTGCGTAAATGGTGGCAATTCCTTTTTTCCCAGTATCCGCCCGCACCGTTCAGCTTCATTATGAGGACGAGGGGTCACTGGGTCACATCATTCATTCGTCCATATTATTCGGCAGGATCGGAGTAATCAAGCTGTCCTCGTGATCTGCCGGGGAAGAAGATTCTGGAGTGTTTCGTTTTTAGGCCGTTGTACACAGTAGATGGACTATCTTAGGATATGTTAACCGAAATTCTGAAATGTGTTTTCGATCCGAAAAAAAGCACTTAAGCAGCGTTTTTATGTCAATTATCGTGCAGCATAACCACAAGGGACTTCAGTCAAGCCAGGATTCAGGCTTTTAAGTGAGCCTCTTCCTGGTCGTCTGCAAAAACGACACTCCATAACAAACCCCTACTTCAGTAGTATTTGCGTTCTCGTTTATTTTAAATGCTCTTGGAAATTCAAATACATTTAATAGAAAATATGCACTAAGGATGGCTTCATGTGCTCGTTTGGTAGCAACCGCGAGCCTCCGAAAGGCATGACAGCCAAAACCGTTTTTATTGCTATTCAACTAGTGACATTACAGTAACTATTTAAACAAGCTGGGTGCGTAAGTGTTCTACCTGTCCTTAGGCACTATGATTACAAAAAAAAGCCACAATGCGAACTCTTCCGACTGTTCTAGGGGCTTGGTCGATGAAGCTTTGAGTATTTTTAATGCACCAACTTCGAATAATAAAAGGCACTCATTGAAAAGGAGCTTACGGCAGTTGTTATAACTAACGAAACATTACTCAAAATTCTAAAATATGATTTTGGTTGAAAAAGATTACTTGGGCGGGCATGAAACGTTTACTAGCATGTGACCTAATCAAAAGGCATTTAATTCATATCGGAATTCCGGCTTTTGGAAGCACGACCATCTGCGATGATTAAACTCGGTAAAAATGACTACTTAGGTAGTATGGCCTTCCTCCTTTGATTTTCAACGGTCTAATAAATTCAGGCGTAGACAAAGCCTCTGTCGTCTGTTCTGTCTTTGATCGTGGATTTGATTATGAATTCGGACTTTCAGACGAGGAAAACTCTTGTTTCAGTGTCAAGGTCCTATTCCGTAACCGTACCTGTTGGGGGTTAGGGTTAAGGCTTGGGGTTAGGAGTTAAGGGTTCGGCTGGGTCTTGCCTACTGCAGGTACGGCTACGAAATAAGATCCAACCGTTCCGACGATCACATCTTCTTAGTTGCCTCCCGGAACTCGTGTTTTTGCTTGCATTGAAAACATTCTTTCTTGTACTGATTTTGTAGGAAATGATTTTTTAAATAATTTTTCGCTCGAATAGAGGGCATCTTTTGGCTCTAAAAATTGTCACTACAAGGATTTTGATCATGAAATGTTCATTCATGCAACATCCTATCTCACACGTTCATTACTGCCCATTTTGAAACACTACTACTACTACTACTACTACTACTACTACTACTACTACTACTACTACTACTACTACTACTACTACTACTACTACTACTACTACTACCACTACTACTACTACCAACCGCAAGCGCACACGAGATTCGGATAGAATCTTCTTAATAGTAAACAGGAGTGTATGATTTTTCTTGAACTGAAACTGTACAGCATGTTGGTTCGAAACACTAAGTATGAGTGGAGTGGCAGGTAGGGGGTGAAATTTTCCGGAAAATGAAAAATTATCTAATATCAAAAGATGTCCTTCCTTCAGGATAAAACTTTGAAGATGATATTATCTGCTAACTGAGTATAAAAAGCGCGTTACTGTCCTTATTCTCCATGAAATGTCTAAATGCAAAAGACCATCGAAAGCCAAGGACGGAATTTTATACTTCATAAGTAGTCATTTTTAGCGATGCGCATACGAAAGCCAGCATCCTAGAGTGAACTAAATGCCTTATGATTATGTTGCACGTTAACAGATATTGTAACACCGTCTAGGTAATGTTTCCTAGGCCAAATTACATTTCACCTTTTTAATGCATTACAAGCTATGCTACATACTGTACCTGCCAAGTAAAAGAGCAGTCGAATGCAATTTCAGAAGTATTCCCAGGTGTAAAATAGCATTATCAAAAAAGACAAGGGAGACTGGGGTGACCACTTCTGACTAATAAGCCGTCGTCAGCTGTCGTCAGTGAGCGCTCTTCTGCCATTGCTTATATGCCCTATCGCAGCCAACAGGACAATGGGCCCGTGGCTCAGTTGTTAGAGGCGTTGGATTTCTAACCAACAGGTTGCGGGATCGAGCCCCAGGTGTTGCACACCTCGGGTTTGGCTAGGGTTGATTGACGACGGCTAATAGGCCGGAATTCATCATTCCAGTCTGCGTTGCCTTTGTCGTTAATAATATTCTGCATATGTTATGCACTGCGGTACAGCTGCTGACGGGGCTCAAGACAGCGTTCTAAGGCACAACGGGACATTTGAGTTCCGTAACGCGATTGGTGACCTCCACCTCTACCATTCCCAAATGTGAACAAGGCAGCACACTAGCTGCACTTCATCAATTCAGACATTCCATGGGAAAGTCGGAAGAAGTAGGACGGAACGTAAGACAGATTGGTCCCCAAGTTGGCAGAACTGACTTTTATCGCCCCTCTAAACAGGTCATAAGGACGGAAACCGTCCGCAATACGGGTGGCTTCGAGTCAAATTTCAGTGAAATTAGCATTAGGTTTAAGGTGAGGGTTAGGTTGAAGATCAGGTTTAAGGCTAGATGTAAAGTTAACGTTAAGGTTAATCAGGATCAAGTTCAGGGTTAAGGTGGGGACTAGTATTACGTGCAGAGTCAAGGTTTAAGGTTAATATAAAGTCGGCAGTCTAGCATTGTATTAGAGTTATTGTTGGGGTCAAGACACGGGGATATTTTGGCCCTTTCGGAATTATGCGCGAGTTCACCTCTATTATATGTGCGGGGTATGCCTATTATCACGTCCTTTTTGGGGCCCACATAAGCCAGTCCTACCTTCATGTTTTTAATCCATGAAGGTGGCAGGACAAACAGCAAATAAAGCACCGTACGGCACTAAAGCCGGATTATTTTTTAAAGGAAAATCGCCGTCTTCTTGCGTATTTCCTCCTCATTTCCACAATTATGATTCAGCCATCCATTTTTCGAAAATAACCTTGATGTAGCCAGACCGCTCAAATGCCCCGTATTCCCTGTTCTAGTGGACTCCGCGGTTGGTCCACCTTCTAGGATAGTCTTCGTCTCAGGGTTTTGTGCCAACCCCGAATCGGACTGTTTGTCAGCGTCCCTCATTCTTCACTAAATAACATAAGGCAGTTCAGCACCCAGTACGAGAAAAAGTGTAAGAATACGAGGGATTTATATCATAAAATAGGCGACGCAAATGTAGGGAAACATACAGGCTCAACAAAATGAGGAATAGCAGACAGTCAAAAGGGACTGCTGAATACTTCATTGTTAGATGTCAGGTGGGGCGCTATATACACTGGAGCATCTTCTCAAGTGTCCTTGGGCAGCCGTTCTGGTCTGCACGAAAAAGAAAAGACACGTCAGAAACTCAGCACTAAAAATCACCCGCTTTTTCATGCCTTTAAGCAAAAAACGACCTTGTCCATCGCTGCAATATAACTGTAATTTCCTCA